GAGAGAGAGAGAGAGGGAGAGAATGGAGATGAGGAAACGGGAAGAAAGAGAAAAGAAAGAGATGAGAGAGATGGGAGAGAGAGAGAGATGAGAGGAGAGAGAAGAGGGAGAGGAGGAGAGAGAGAGGAAAGAGAGAGAGAAGAAGGGATGATGAGAGAGCGAAAAAGAGAGACAGAGTCCGAGGGAAAGCTGAGCGGAGAGAGAGAGAGAAAAAAGGACACGGAGCGTGAGGGAAGAGCAAAGGGAGAAGAGGAGGGAGAGCAGGAGAGAGCGTGAAGAGAATGGAGAGAGAGAGAGAGAGAGAGAGGAGAGAGTAGAGAGATCGAGAGGAGAAGAGAGAGAGAAAGAGAGAGAGAGAGAGAGAGAGAGAGAGAGAAGAGAGAGAGAGAGAGAGAGAGAGAGAGAGAGAGAGAGAGAGAGAGAGAGAGAGAGAGAGAGAGAGAGAGAGAGAGGAGGGTCGCATAACCGTCTCCAAGCCCTGTCATCCTATTGTCTAAATGTGGTTGAGCGCATTATCTCCCCTGGCCTCCCCTTCAAGCCTAACGTGCTATGTGCGCCGTGCATGTCTTGCTGCCGTTGGGCGTGATTCCCCGTGGCGGGCGGCTCGGTGCGTTCGCCTGCGGGTGAGGCAGGAACGATGGCTATTTTTCCGTTACCCTTTTCTGAGTTATGGCACTTTGATAGAGGTAAAATATATCAATGCTGTATATTCATCCCGTCCGTGCAGTTCAACAAACAAGCAAAGATTATAATTCATATGCTCGACATTATCCTCGGTCATTGGAATTCGTCCTTGGACCTCATTTGAGGGCCGAGGGCCTAAGGTTTATTCGTGTCCAAATAAAATCCTATCAAAGGCTTTCATGGCATCAGTCCTTTACCCTTTCCTCGCCAAGCTCTTCTCCGGCGTCCTTGTCACTCCTCCCTGTTTGCCTTCTGTCTGTGGGTCTGTTTCTGTGCCTGCTGCCATGACCTGCGCTGTGTGTCGTGTAGTGTTCACCTGCTGTTCAAATGGAAAAGGTGGCGAGCGCGCAGGGGCGTGTGTGTACCCAAGAAGACCAAATATAAATCCATATACGTCCGCTGCGGTACTTACAGTGGCGTGTGGCGACGGGGGTGAGGGCGGGAGGGAGGCCGTCGCCGCGTCGTCGTGGGGGAAGGGCGGCGGCGGCGACGAGGGCCACTTGCCGGCGAAGGGGAAGGCGCCCTCCCAGCAGAACGTCGTCGTGGGCGAGGGGAAGGAAGCGCGCCCGGTCGGCGACGAGGGAGGCGGCGAGGGCGCATTGCCCTTGAAGATCGTGGTGGTCGTCGTGGAGGTGACCTTCTTGCGGTACACGACCGAGGTGGTGAGCCGTTCGAGGGCGTCGCGGCGGCGCACCTTCTCCTCGCGCTCGTGGCACTGGACCTCCTCGTGGAACTGGTAGTGCTCGACGCGCTCGCGGCTCGGCGGGCTGCGGCGGGCGGCCTTCTCCTGCGGGCACACGCCGCTGAACTCCTTCCCTCGCCCGCCCTCCTTCGGCCCGACCCATCACGCGCGGCGCAAAACATGTCATGAAGTGGTCGCAGTGCGACGAAGTGGCGTAAGTTACGATGTGAAAATGGTCGGTGGTTGGCGGAGGCTGCGAGGAGCGCCCGCGAGCGATGGCATCCATCCCTCCGGGAGGATTTACGCCCGTCCACCTGTTACACTCTAGCCTTGATAACTGCCACGGCTGAATGGCTTTGGAACCTAAAGGATGGAGAGGGAAAGAGGGGAATATAGGTGCGAAGGAGGGAAAACTGAGAGAGAGAGCAGACGAGAGGAGAAAGAGAAAGAGCGAGTGATTAAAGAGGGGGAGAGAGAGGGAGAGAGAGAGAGATAGAAAGAGAGAGGGAGAGAGAAACCCATCGGTTTGGGAAAAAAACGCGGATTCGTTGACGCGCACCTTCAAACCGGAAATCTCTCTTAACGGGCAAGTGATTTAGCGATAGGCTCTTCTCATTCGCAAGTCGGTGACATGAACAATAATATTCGAGCTATCTGTTACCTGCCATCATCTCGAATCAAGCCCATTTCCCCAGCCCGAAAACCTCGATGCATTAGAGGAAAACGAAAACGCGAGGCCTTACCAGTGCCATGTACTAACCTTCCTGTAGAGCGACACTACTGTGACGTCATCCGCTAAGCAAACAAGAGGTGACGTCATTCCCGGGCATGACGTCAGGGCCACTCACCTGCAGTTTGTGCTGCGCCGAAGTGACGGTGTGGTCGTACACGATCTCCTCCTCGTCGTCTAGGATCGGCGGGGGCGGCTCTAGGGCGGCGCTTGGGCTGGTGGGTGGCGCCTGGTCGTGGGCGTTCGCGCCCTGTGGGTGGCCGTGGATGAGGGCGTCAAGCGCGGCCAGTGACTGCGCCCGCGGGCTGAGAGGGGGCGAGATCACGTCGCTCAGCTCGGCCGCCTCGGGTCGCCCCTCGACCTCCATCTCCGCGATGACCGCCTCCTCAGGCAGCGGCGC